GGGGGTGGGTGGGGGTGTAGTAGGCTTGAGAATGATAAGGGAGGGGGGTAGACATGGGTCGTGGGCCCAATAAGCTCGGGTTTTTATTTGGGTAAGGTGAGTTCCAGGCGTTAGGGCCATCAGGATAGGTCCATTGCCTCGAGCTGCTTTGTCGTCCACGACCTCTACCCCGAGAGCCGTTGCCTCGCCCGCCGCCGCGTCCATAGCCGTTGGGCTGTCCGAAGGAGCCGCCCTCACCATAGCTGCCGCTGTGCTGGAGCCCGCCGCCATGGAAGCCGCCGCTGCCACTTCCGCCGTGCTGGGAGCCGCCGCTGCCGCCGCTAGAGGACTGCCGACCGCCGCCGTTACCACCGGTCCGTTCGGCAATGAGAGCCGTGCCACCTGCTTCGGCCATGGGAGAGCGTTGCCGGTCCAATAACATAAGGGCGGAACGGGCTTGGAGAAAAGTGGGCAACGGGTCCTGAAATTGAAGAAAAGACGTCGGGCCTGCAAATCTACGCGGAGACCACGAAGCATCTAAAGAACCAATTGATGTTGGGACATCAGGGCATCAGCATCGTCCAACCAATCGCCGAGATTTTGCAGATGATGACAATAGGCTGCCATAGTGGTGTTGCCTTTGACGGTGGTGCGGAATTCGTGCTCTAGTTGCATGGCACGAGCATTCTTGTTGTCGTGAAACAGATCATGAATAACTTTCCAAAGAGCAGAAGCGGTGGAGACAGAGGAGATAACCAAATCTGAGACTTCGTCAGAGATGGTGGACAAGATCCATCCCTAGAGGAGAGCGTCAAGTTGGAGCCACTCATCATCGTCTTTAGAGGGAGGGACGATGGAGCCATTGATGTAGCCTTGGAGATTGAATCGGCGAACCAAGAGGAGAAAAAGACGACTCCACTTTTTGTCGTTCGGTTGAGAGAGGCTGAGAAGAACCGGAACATGGAGTTTGACATTTGAGATCGTCGTGAAAGCAAGATGAGGGGTTTTTGCCGGAGTGGAGTTGGAGGTAACCTCGCTTTCGGCCATTGGAGAGAAGAGAGCCGGAGGGAGGAGGGGGGAGTGCCGCCGATGGAGGATTGCCGACGACGAAGGAGGGACGGCGGGGCGGCGCTGAAACTGCCGAGAGGGAGAGAGAGGAAGCCGAGAGGTAGGGTTAGGGTTTTGGTTTTTTTCGTTTAATTAGGCTCCGATACAATGAAAAATAATGATTTTCATTGATTGAATGAGTTGTGATTAATGTATATATATAAGAGGAGTCTCAATCCTAAATAAGGTAGGAGAGGCACAAGGAAGGAAACCTATACAAATAAGGTAAGGGAATAATACAATATATTAAATATATACAATATATTTAACATTGATATAATTAATTTGATTTTAAAATTTAGTTCTGATATATCAAATTTTTATCACATCTACTAATATCTTTATGTTTATAAATGCAAAGATAAAAGATAAATTCAAATAGTAGTACACTCTAATTGAATACGGTTTGGTAAAAATTGAGTGAAATTAGGTGAAATTAATAAGATTTTATCGGCTTTAGTTCTAATCGGTTTCGGATCTAATTGGTTTCGGGTATTATCGATTTCAAATCTAATGGGTTTCAGGTTTGATCGATTCAGATCCAATCGTTTTGGGTTTAAATTGGATATGAATTATTTAGTTTAGTTTCGGTTTAGTTTGGATCATTTCGGTTTCGAATATTTTGATTCGAGTAATTGGTTCTGGTTCTGTTTTGGCAAGTCTAAGCATCTAATGGGAATTAGCCCAACAACTATGAAGAAGAAGAACATACTGATAATCAATGAATCTCTCAATATTTCTATTACTTTGTGTGTATAAGTGTTTTTCACTTGCCTTACAATGGAGGGTTCTCCCTCTATTTATACTACATTACAATTACATACATAATGGGCACTCATCTCGCGCATAAATCTCGCCATTATCTCTCGCACGCCGATCGTGGCCTGCTGGTTCACCATCTCAACCCTTACTCTTTCCACGACCTTGCGCTGTACAGTACCTTCGTTTTACGTTTGGGCCTATTGACAGGAACTGGGTCATTTATTTCTTGTTCAGCAACCCTCGTTCTGCACCAAACCAAGTCGCTCCTGTGGACTAGGCCGTTCATTTACGTCTATTGGGCCCGGTTATCCAACACAAGCCGCCTAGTTTCTTAGTGAGACATCGCTTAGGAACTATAGTTGTGCCGCCCTTGGTTTGAACTCGTTCTCATGCGCGATCTCTTGGGAGCGCCCTTCAAAATCCATCATTCGGATGCTTTCGGTGGGATTTCACTTACCCACAATCCGGCGCCGAAATGTTTTTTTGGTGATGCACTATGATTCGGTTCTTCACGATTTTAGACTTCCTCTTCACCCCTTTATCCGCGAGGTGTGCAGAAATTGGGATCTTCTCCGTGAGCAATTCACAGCCAATGCATACAAATATCTGGCGTCCTACACCTTGCGCTGTTGTGACAAGCTTATGACCCCTTCTGGGAGGGATTTTATGCACTTTTTCAGCCTCGGTGGTGATTCCCCTTTTTTCAGCCTTTACCACAATTAGAAATACGTTCTCTTTACCGAAGTTGACGGCGTATTAAAAATTGGGAAGACAAGCTTTTTTTGTGATTGAGGCTCCTACCGATCGGCCTTTCGACCATCGAACTGAGCCTCGTAAGACCAGACTCCCCTGGACCCCCTTTTCCAAGGGTTACCAGGTTGGGAAATCCTTTGAAGAGATGAAGGATACCGGCCTCATCAATCTTGAGTGCCTCCAAGATCCTAAATCAGGTTGAGAAAGCCTTTGATGTGTGCGTATAATAAATATTATATTATTTATTTTGGGTTAATTATATGATAATTAAAGTTGAAAAAATAAATTGGAAGGTTCCTTAAAGGGGTGTTTCGAAATTGACAAAGTAAAGTAGGAATGAGATTTAATTTCTTTTCTAAACACTAAAAGGTACATTTCTATTAAGAATAGGAATGTGGATTATGCTCCTTATAAATATGAGATCATTCCACCCCTTTTGTACATCGAAATTTCAGCCCTCTCCCTCTTTTATTAAGATACAATTTTTTTGTTCTCTTAACACTTTACACCAAATACTTTATATTTTAGAAATACTCTAGGAAAAAATTACTAACATAATTTTCCCTAGAATGCTGTTTGTAGTTCATTTGTCTCAACTAGAGGTCAGATACTTTTGTGGCTAGCTCTTGGACCAATCCCTTCAACCACACATATCGTTGCTTGCTCGCCAAGAAAGGTATAATCTCTAACAATACCTTATAATGATCGTAAGAGGTCTTGGGTAGATCTACCTTTGGACAAATTTTTTTATATTTATGCTGCCCTATCTAAGCGTAGAACCCAACAACTAGACGAGTGTTGCCTTCTTCCAAGATGCACATGGTGTTTGCGAAGGGGATTGGGATGGCCTTGACTTTGTCCATGAACTACATACCCATCGGGTAGTCATCCACGATAACAACCGAGAAATTTATGAGACCGTTCCAACACTACTAGAGAACATGTCTTACACAACGCACTTTACACATCACATATGTTAAAATAGGGGTGTTCATTCGGTAAAACCGTACCGAACCGAACCGAAAATTCGGTTATTTATTTTCTGTACAGAATACCGAACCGAAATTAACTTAATCGGTTCGGTCCAAACCGAAATATTTCAGTTTGGTAAACGGTTTTACCAAAAACCGGAAAAAAGGACTTTGAACTCTAAGTTCTCTGTTTTCCTCTAGGTTAGATTGACCTGTGAAAATTAAAAAAAATCCAAGAAACATAGACGAGTGAACAAACGGGTAAATGAACTGTGAACATCCTAATTTCGTACATGAACTATGAAGTGTGAACAAATATACAAAAAACTGAAAAAAAAATTAAATAAAAGCAAATTAGGGTAAGCAGATGCAACAAAGCAAATAGGAAACTTACCTTCTGACATTGTGAGTCGCTAGGGGATGAAGATGGCCGCACGATCGATCGGATGAAGAAGGCAGAGCCGAAGAGCCGAAGATCTCCCTGCCGGCTGATTTTTGCGAAGAGTCGATGCTTAGTCCTTACTGCCGCCGGCTGATTCCATCACTTCCAACCAATTGATCGAAGAAACTTAGAAAAAGGAAACCTAGATTGAGACTTAAAATTGGGCTGGATATTCACTTTTTAAAATTGGGCTTAAAATTGGGCTGGATATTTGTAGTGGGATGGGTAGAACTATACTCGTACAATATATTAAAATTATTTCGGTATTCGGTTTGTACCGAAATACCGACACAAATATTATTACCGAACCGAAAACCGAAATTTTAAAAAACTTAAAACCGAATACCGAATCAATTTATTTGGTTCGGTTTCAGTATGTACCAAAGTTTTCGGTTTCGGTACAGTTCGGTCGGTTTACCAAAATGTGCTCACCCCTATGTTAAAACCGTTGTCTAACCCCAACCCACTAATGGCGCCCCGATCAATTTTTTTTATCTAAGGCAGCGTATTTTACAAAATCCCTTGTCTAAACTTTTTACTCTTCCGTGTTATTAACCATATCTTTTACCAGGCCAGCAGTATACCCCCCTCTAACCCTCTTCCAATTTCTCTCGCAAGCACCGCAGATTCACTTCTCTTCAAAATTCTGCTCCAATTGCGAGAAGCTTCTCCCTCTTTGATTGCTCCACACGAATCGCGTCTCACCACCTGCTTGTTAGAGGTTTACACGCAGCGTCCATGGCGACAAGACATAGACCGCTTCGAACGGTAAGGATCGGACAACAGCGACAAATCAATGGCAGACGGTATTGATAAACCCAATGAGCTCTAGAATTTGAAATCCATAGTCCCATTTCTGTTTTCTTTCTGACCTTATTGAAATTATTTTCTAGACTTCCTATTTTATTCGATTTTCAAGTTACTGGGTTCAATATTTAGGCAGAAAATATTTATGCCTCCATCTACAGGTTGTTAACTCAACCATGGTCACTGATTTCTTCTGTTCTGTTCTTCAACAAATTATCTCAATAAGGTTTGTTAAACATCAAACAAGATCTACTTGATTATATGTATTTTCTCATTTTCAATGTTGTACTCAATTTGAAATATATTTCAAATACACACACACACACACACACACACGTGAAATAAGATGTAGTTGTAAAGCTGTAAAGGTTATGAAACCCGCTCACCTTGTAATACTTTGATTACATTATTGATCGTCAAATGTTTCAAAATCTGTTTGGAGAGTGCTGCTGTTTTGTCACGGTTGTACGGTACCTTTATTTACAGAGGGTATGCAAGTATGTAGTTTGGAAGTAGCGTGGTTTGGTTTGCACTCAAGAATGGTGTTTAGTGTTTATAGTAAGCAATGGCAAACTGTCTCATCTTTCAAATTAAGATTTGCAAAAGTGATTTGTTTGTTTCCTAACAGTCTAACACATAGCTCACGTAGGTGTAAGATATATAAATGTACGTCTACGTTGATTGGAGTTCTATTGTTGAGCATACTCTTGTATATTTTAGAATCTTCTCTATTAGAACATATAGAAGAGGTTGGGTATTGCCTAAAAGATGCAAGTAATAGACCTTTTTATTTTTAGTCGACCTCATTAAGGCACAAACTTTGTAGATAGTGGGTGGTCATTTTGTACTCTATGCAAAGTTGGTCGGAGTAATCAGCAACCACATGCTTCTTTCCTTTACCATTTTTTTCTTAGAAACTAATGTTGGCTTCTAAATCATTAATTTTTTAATAAAAAATAGCTCTTGAAAAAATACTCCACTTTGAGGACAGAGGGAGTATATTATATTCCTTCAATATCAAATTGACTTTCTTGTTTTGAAGTTCAGAATTGAAAGGCTTGTTGCTAGATATTAAGTTAAACCTTCATTGAAATTTTATTTGATCTATTTAATAATCTCATAGGTCATACTTTGGCATTTGTATTTATGGATCCCCCTTAGCATGATTTAAAAGTTATCATGATGGCAAATAATATCTTTCTAATTTAAAATTATTTCTTAACTAGACATAAACATCTTATAGTAACCATTTAATTAGGTAAAAACAAATTCACGGTGCAGATTCTGAATATCATCTAAAGAAGACTAAAAATCACACATAGTGTCTTACACTACTACAAATTAGATTTTACACAGCCCATTATAACAGCGAAACTTTCTACAGGCACCGTCAAAGCTTTGAGTAGTTTGTTCTAATTTTTCTTAGCTAACTCTTCTTACATACGTACAAAATGGTGGCCAAATCAAATTTATAGTGAGAGTGAATCTTAGTTGATCCTCGTATGTTGCAGAGACTTTTACTCTCCTTTAACATTTCATCTCTAAAATGGTAAAACTGTTATTGTCTTTTATTATTTAAGTGGAGCTTGTAGAGTTAGAGAGTATTTACAATTGAGTTAATTCTAGGAAAAGGATTTCCTATGGTTGGTGTGATCAGGTATGTACTAATATGAACCACTTTTCAAATACCAGCTTAGTTAGTGATCAGTTAATGATTTCCCAATTAATGACCAATCTCTCTTTAATTGATGTTGTCTCTCTTTTTTAGTTCAACAGAGTGGTCTCGGGGGAGATAGCCTATGGGATTTGACATGGTTATATGTTAATAACATTATGCCCTCTCTGAAGTCTCAGGTTTTTCCCGATCAAGACCCCGACGAGCAACCAGAGGTTAGTATCCAAGGTTTGGAAACCGATTCTTTGACTGTAAACTGATACGAATAATTATTGTTGATGATATTGATAACTGGCTGGTTGCTCTGCTTTGGTTAATGTGCTTGTTATATGTTTATTTGTGATGTGAAATTAGAATACTTTGCATGATCATGATGATGATTTACTCCAGGGGCGTTGCCCATTTTGTACATATACACGTAGTAGTAGTAATAGAACATTTGCTTTTGTAATTCCTAACTTCTAACCTACCTGTGTGTGTTGTTATTATTGGTGTTCTAATCCTAGGCTCCTACCGTGTACAACTAGTGATTTATTTGTGAATAATGCTAAAATCCCACCACGGGTGCTCTATGGATGATAATTACACACAATAATCATCGTTCACGTGAAATGAGCTAGCTAATAACAAATTATTCCATGATGTTTATCAATTTGCAAGCTGTAGCAAAAAAAAAAGGGTGAGAAATGCGTAAGAGTGTTTGGGTGTAATTGATGTATATTTTAGGCATACAGACCAAAAGCAATAATTATTGCAGTTTCTATCTTGTCCATTATCAGCACCCAAATTTTGATTCTAGGCCGTGAAAGAGTCTCTATGCAAGTAGGAACTCCCTCTTGAAGTTTCTCTTCAACATTATTTCACAACATCTCTTTCTTTTTTCACAATATCATGGACATATCCCTCTTTTTCACAATACCATTTCATCACTTCATTTCATAATATCTCTCTTTGCTAAAAAAAGAAGAGGAATCTGGCTATTGAGAAATAATGTCTACTATTCGGAAAGATATTCGTTATTAAGATTGATTCAATTTGTTAATTTGCAGGTTTTCTTGGTGAAGAGAGGTTTATTTAAAGTTTGTAGTAGGCTTTGGATATAAGAGCTTCATGTGCTTCTGGTCAATCAATATGTTATGGAGCAATTGGGATGAAGAGTGAAAATAAACTATGTTAAAGTTCACTTTGCAACAATGGGAAAATTATTATTTTGGCTCGAATTCTATTTTAGCAATTATTAGTTATTTTGGTAAACTTATGTTCTCACCATAAGTGGAGGGGCTTTGGTTTGGTCCTCCCCTCATGTATTTTGTTTTATTCTTTTTTAATAAAACTTGTTTTGTTATATATATTGCAATTTTATGTATTGGGTAAATATGATTTCTCCCATTGAAAAATTATTGTTTATGCTTACACATCAAATTTTTTTCCGCTATATAAAGTTTACACCTCGGCTATTTATCCGCTGTATAATGTGAAAAATACTCGTTGTCTAAACAACCGATGGGAAAGCTCTCATCCTTACGCATCACATATTTTTCCGATGTCTAAACTTTATACAGTGCATATATTATTTGATGTGTAAACTTTACACATCGGATAATCTATGCGATGTATAAAGTTTACACATCGGAAAAATATGCGCTGCGTAAACAAGAGAGCTTTCCCATCGGTTGCATGGACAGCGGCTGTTTTCCGATGGGAAAAGCCATATTTATCCGCTGTGTAATATATATTCTGTAGTAGTGACAACGTTCTACTATCCTGTGCCAACATCGACGTACCTATTATTACGCCTTTGTGTGAACATCTCATAGACTACGATTGACGGGGAAGAATCCTAGGGTTTATTATTTATTAATCCTCGGTTCATTACTTGATGTTTTTTCGGGATCTAGAGACATTTTAATCTTCTTTTGTTTTGGGCAGTTCTTCATCTGTACCTAGGATTTCTTATGGAAGTAAGAGCTTTGTGCAGCTCTTTCTCCTTATGGTTTTTGCTCATAACAGGAAGCTGAGGTTTTGAGCTTAACAACCCTATGGCTTTTGGGCAGTTGTACGTGGTCTGGGGCTGAGGTTTTTGGGCAAAATAAGATAACTATCGAACAGCATCATTGCAAGCAGCCTCTTTGGGATGTTGGTTGTACGTGTGCCTGCCTCGGTTGGAATTTTTCTGTTTGGCCTGCTATGAATTTTACTTGTTTGTAGGTTGTTTGGATATAGGGCCTTGTATGGTTTTGTTTGTTTTGCTTGTACCCTTTTCTTTTCTTTTGGCGTCTTTGTTGGGGGCAAGCCACCCCTCTCTTTTAAGTTTTCCTTTTCTTTTTTAATAATAAAAATAATATTTAATATATATATATATATATATATATATATATATATATATATATATATTGGTTCTGGTGAGAATGCAATCTTAGGAGAGAAATGAGAATGAATCTGGTGCTTATCAAAATTAGGTGCAACAAAATGGTTTGAAAATGCATCACGTCGAAATGCATCATAATCCTTTGAAAATGCACTATCTCAAAATCTGAGCGCAGGATGCAATCTGAGCCGCACGATGCATCAGATCTAACGGCTAGATTTCATTCTCATTTCTCTCCACAAGGTGCATTCTCACAGGAACCAGCCCCTATATATATATATATATATATATATATATATATATATATATATATATATATATATATATATATGTTAGACAAGGCGTGCAACTCTAGAGGGGGGTGAATAGAGTTGTTGAGAATGTTTACCGATTTTCGCAGGATTAATAATATAAACGTAAGTGCAGCGGAAATAAAAGAGAGAAGGCAAAGAACACACCGATGTATACTGGTTCACCACCTCGTGGCTAATCCAGTTCCCCGAGAGACTCTCTCGAAGCTACCACTACTTCCGTTAAGCTTACGGGTGCTTAACAAACCGTTTACAACTCGAGAACTTGAATCCCACAAGCCTCGACACAACCGCTCGTAGATATGCCCTCTACAAGACTTTACAACCAAGACTTAAGTCACATAAGTCTTGAACAACAAGAAGAACAATCTTCTTCAACCTCACAACAATGACTCTCACAAGAGTAGAAATGAGAAAAGATTAAGCTCTATGGATGACAAGAAACCTCTCTTAAAAACAAATAGTTTTCTCTCAAAGTGATATAAATTTGAGGAAATATTGATGGAGGATTAACACCTCAAGAATGGGGAGTATTTTAGTGTTTCTTGTTATAAAAAATGACCAAGGAAGGATGCTTAAATAGGAGGTGAAGAAATATATCCGTTGGTCCAAGAAAAGAAGCTGTGCAGAAAAGATGCAGCATAATAATCGATTAATGCATCACCATAATCGATTAATGCATCATAAAAAATCGATTATGGCAGCTGAAAAAATCGATTATAATTGCCAGAGCCAAATTCTTTCTGCGCAGAAAAGTGATAATCGATTAAAACCAAAGGTCTTAATCAATTAGTTCCTTCTGGACGCGATAATCGATTAATTCCAAAGGTAAAATCGATTATTGGAACAATAATGCCTAGACATGAAGGACACAAGCATGTGGGCGAGTAGGGAGGATAAAACGGAGCGTATACGTTTGTTTGAGACAACGGGAATCAGGGAAGCGCTCCTCCTCTCTTATTCAATGAATTTGAATAAGGGAGTAAAAGTGAGTCCAAAAATAATTTTGTGTGTCAAACGATGTACACAGAAAAATTTGAATAAAATTTTTTTTACTTACCAAAAATATTTTATAATATCAAAATAAATATTTGATAAATGTTTAGCACACCTTTTGTAACTGACTCAATAAAACTATTTTGAACAGTTAAAAAGATTTTTCAACTGACTCCAAAAATAAATATAATTTTTATTTTAACTCTCATAAAAATAATTTTGGAGAGAAGATATTTTTGTCATCCTTACAATAATTCCTAAGACTCAAATAAATAAAAAGTCTTCGGAAATCTTCTACTCCTCCGAGTCCTCCGTTAGGCGCTTCGAATGCGTCTTGGACTCCAATAAAATCCTGTGCACCTTCTTGAATACTTCAAGGAATGACACTTCAAGTCTTCATGTTTGTCGTTGTAGCACTTTGATCTTGACTTGAATAAATTGTGTTTGTCAATTATCAAAACCTGTGAGTCAAGACTTAACAACACAGAAAGGGTTGAACTCATGCATTCCAACAATATATATATATATATATATATATATATATATATATATATATATATATATATCTCACTGGGATTGACTCCAGTGAGATGACACCTTACGGTGAGATGACATGCTTCGGTCAGATAACAGAAAGCTCACCACTGGTCACTGCAAAGCTCACCAAAGACAACTACAAAGCTCACCAAAGTGTAAGGCAAAGCTCACCATAATTTTTCAACACTTTGAATTTTTTTCCAAAAAAAAATCAAAGGAAAGGGTGCTGACTAGACTTTGACTGCATTGACCGCCAGCATTGACCGCCGCATGCCACCGTCGCCGCCGCCGTCGGTCGCCGGAATCCGGTCACCGCCGCCGCCGCCGTCCGCCGGTTGCCGGTCGCCGTTCGCCGGAATCCGGTCACAGCCGCCGCCGGTCGCCGAACTCTGGCTGCGCCGCCGGGCTCCGGCCGCCATTGCTGCTCCGCCGCCCTTGACCAGTTGTTGACCGGTGTTGTTATTTTATTTTTAATTAATTTTTTAATTTTTAAAATTTAAAAAAAAAAGTGAGTTTTGAGGTTCAAAGTGGTGAGCTTTGCTTTATTTCCAGGTGAGCTTTGCATTGTCCATTGGTGAGCTTTGTAGTGTAGTGTGGTGAGCTTTGTTTTATTAGCTTTTTTTTTTAAAAAAAAAGTGGTGAGTTTTGCATTGTTCCTTGGTGAGCTTTCCATTGACAGTTGGTGAGCTTTGCATTGATAGTTGGTGAGCTTTACACTTTGACCGCCCATGACCAATGGCCACCACCGATGACCCCCACTATTGCCGTGGACCGGTGGTTGAGCGGTGGTTGAGTGGTGGTTGAGTGGTGGTGTTATTTTTTAACTTTTTNCATATATATATATATATATATATATATATATATATATATATAGACATTAGCAATTACACGCGCGTTGCGCGGGTTTAAGTGCCCGATCATGATTTATCCTAGAGAAATTTTTGTTATTTTTATGATATAATGTGAATGGGGGTTCTCTTTTTGTTTTGTTTAATGGGTCAGAAAATATAAATTTGAGTAGACAAGTTAATAAGATTTCACAAAAATGAAGTTATGAATAACTAGTATCACACCCGTGCGTTGCACGGGTCATTTTTATGTTATTAAATTCAGATCATTTTTCAATGATAAAAAATGAGATGCAATAGAATATAGAGATTATATTATTTGAAAGTATAAAACATCAATGTTTTACAAATTTCGAAAGACTTCTTTATAGACTACATTATTTGTAATATTTGTGGGAGTATTGTCTTCATTGCATATCAGAATCTTCAATCTACTAAGATTATTTACTCTTGAAACTGCAACATAGAGCTGTCCATGACTAAACACAGGTTTCCGTAACAGTAGTCCAACATGTTTCAGAGATTGTCCCTGGCTCTTGTTAATCGTCATTGCGTACGAAGTAACCACATGGAATTGTCTTCTTTGAAACTTGAAAGAAATTCTTGTATCGGACGGTGTTAATGATAGTCATTGAATAACAACTTTTTCACCCATGTGGCTTCCTGATAATATTTTTTCCTTGTATTGAGTGATTAGCCAATCGGGTTACTATCAACCGTGTACCATTACATAAACCCATTGAATGGTCAATATTTCTCAACAACATAATAGGTGTGCCTACCTTTAGAGTTAATCCGTGATTCGGTACACCTGAAGCACGAATCTTATTTAAGAATTCGGGAGAGTGTAGGTCACTAAAAAAACTTGAACTGCAATCCGAGTTCTCAACTTTATCAGAACTAAGGTATGTTCGAGTCTCGCTGCTTGGATTCATCGCTGTCATATATTCGTTTATGGAATCGACGACATCTAGTGTAGGAGCCAAAATTGCGCGCTCCTGCAAGTAGCTCAGTTCATTGGCTATTTTTTGAAATTCTGGATAAGTTGAATTCACTATAGTGGCTATTGCGCGCTCCATCAATGAAAACATTGACGTGATTTCCCCATAACGTACAATTCAACCGAACGCCACTACAAAAAAAAAGTTATAATATTTTTAAATATAATATGTGTCGCAATTTTTTAGTAATTAGCTAACAATAAAATAACGTATCATGCAAATGAATTATTTAATAATTTTTTCAAAGTATAATATTTTTTTTTAATTAAAATGAATTTGGTTATT